CATTTTTTGGAAATACATATAAGCTTAAAAGAGTTCAACCTTTTCAGCTCACAGACTTTCAAAGTCAAATTAAATTTGGTCCTGAATAATTCCCATAATTTGATATTTGACTCTTTTGGTGTGAAACTCTGTCACTGCTGTTAGAAGTCAAACACGTGAAGCATTAATAACAAAAGGAGTGCAGGCATACAGTTAAACAGAATTGAGTTATAATTGTAGCTTGTCTCTCATAACCTTCTGATTCACTCTCCAGCAAATCTCACAATCCTGCGTAACACAGACGGACAGATGCATCTCACACACACACACACACACACATGTACACACACACTCACACACACTCTCTCTCTCTCTCTCTCTCTCTCTCACACACACACACACACACACACACACACACACACATATATATATATATTTTGTGAAGCACAAATAGAAATAACAGTAAATAAATATAATACATCTTAAATTATTCCTAAAATAGGATTCATTTTATTTATTTTTCTTTTGGGGTGAAATATGACCGGGATATGTTTTCGACAGACTGACTGAGATTCACTTTTTCCAAATGTCATTTTTTTGAAGAACACGAGGCAACTACACAGACATCAACTCCATGTCAGATGAAGAGAAGCGTGATGTTTGTATGTTAAAGACTGAGCCGTCTGAGCACTAGATCACGGTCACTCATCTCCTTCAGCTAGACTAGTCTGGTCAAGTGCTTAACTAGTCTTCTGCTGCAGTTTGTGATGACAGCAGCTGTTCACCAACCAATCACAAGCCTCAAATCATTCTCATCGTTCCTTCTAGTTACACAGTGATGACGTTCTCACACAAACAACGTCTCCTTAACGACAGAGCAGCGATTCACCATAGAAACAGTAAAGAATCAGCACAGATCTGTAATAGAACAACTAGAGGCGCTCTCACTCCGTTCCACAACCTAGTGAGCTGAGTATTTATGCATTTGAATTGAATTGAAAAGATCCACACATAATTATGATGTTTTGCATTGTGACATTATTTTTATAAAAATAATACATCTTAAAATATCTTTAAAAATACTTAATTTTCTTATATATATATGTATATTTGCTCTACCATCTGCCGACCCTGATGTAACCTTGCAAAAAATATTTAGGCCTAAATTTATTAGTTATGTTTTTGAATTGCATATAACATTTCCATAATAATCATAACAATACAATTTTATTTTCCTTTAAAGGAGCATCTTAAAACACGTTGCTTTACAGTTAATGGTGTCATTATTGACATGACCATTAAGCACAAAATAAATAAATACATAAAAATAATACATCTTCAAATATTCCTAAAATAAACAATTTTTTTTTTCATTTTCTATACATGCTTTTTTTTATTTTCCATAAGTATTTGCAACTATTTGATTTTTATTTAAATAATAATAAATGTGTTAAAATATAAATATAAAATAATATTAAATATTAAAATATAATTAATTGTGCTTAATTACTTCAGTTAAAATGCATGAACATAGATAAAATACGACGACGTGTGCAACAAGCGATATTCAATGAGTTAAAATGTACGAGACTGAAACTAATTGGATTCATTGATGATAAATATATAAAGCTGGTTATTGTGCGTTTAAAACACATTCAGATTATTAGTACTAATTACAGTAATCTGACCTGTTTCATTAATGTATGACTGACAAATATGCATCACATAAAAATAAAAAAATGTATCCGAAATTTTATATGAAATTCAAATATATAAATCTTAAATTTATAAGTTCGTCATCTTGGATGCATTTTTGAATGTTTGGAGCAATGCATTCTGGGATTTCCTTCTCAACAATGCTTCTTTACAGCTTGGCCAAAATATAAGGCGGCATAAATATGTAGCCTACTATTCTGAACGCCCTCAAACACAGTCTAGATGAGCAGCTCACCAGGAATAGAAACGGAGCTTCTTTGTCTGTTTGCATCGCACATTTCAAGTTAGACAGAAGCAGGCCTTTTTTGTGTATTACTAAGTTTCCGCTAGTTGATGTTCACAGTATAGATTAAGCATGTGGAGCTGATGGATGGTTTAAAACTGCTGGTGAATTTTCATGTATTTGGAGTTTCTCTGTAGAAATGATTGGGACATTAGTGGGACTCTCAAATGCGTCTATGAAAATAAATATATGGCAGAATGCTTTGAAATACTTCATTAAATGTGTTTGCATACACTCAAACACACGATATTCTCAGTATCATTCTCAATGTCTGTTACCTTGTGTGATAAATGTACCTGTACCTGCACACAATGGCCACGTAAGCACTGCAGAGACTTGTAATCAAACATCATTAGAAGCACATTAAACTCCCACAAGCGGAGTGACTCCGGATTGAAGTGCAGTGTGAACACGTGCTCCAACTCAAACCAGGGGCCTCATTTATCAAACACACCACTGATCTGACATTTCACGGATGTCATACTGTCAAAACAAACAAACAAACCCAGAAACTGATGTGAGAGTGTGTACACCACCTGAAGAGCGTGTGAAGAGTCCTCTTGTGCTCAAATACGATTAAAATAACCCAACTCTGGTTATAAAAAAATAAAAAGACATAGGCAATGACTTTATGCATGTAGATTATTATGTGCACTAATGATAACGTCACTGAAAGTAATTCATTAATTAATAATTCATGAATTATTCCTGATGTTTATGATATATATATTTATTTTTTTATTTTTCAGGAAATCATTAAAAAGTGTACGTACACTACTAGTACCACTACTCTAGTTTGATATACATTAAACTGTAATGTATTTCTGTGATGCGCAGCTGTATTTTCAGCATCATTCCTCCAGTCTTCAGTGTCACATGATCTTCAGAAATCAGTATAATATGCTGATTTATTATCAGTGCTGGAAACTGTTGCTGCTTAATATTTTTTTGGAACCTGTGATACTTTTTTCAGGATTCTTTGATGAATAAAAAGTTAAAAAGAAGAGCATTTATTTAAAATATAATTATTTTCTAACAATTACACTACCGTTCAAAAGGTTGGGGTCAGTCAATTTTTATTCTTTCTATTTTTGAAAGAAATTAAAACTTTTATAAAAAATGTATTCAGCGAGGATGTGTTAAATTGTTAAGAAGTGATAGCAGAGATTTATATTGTTAGACAATATTTATATTTTGAATAAATGCTGTTCTTTTTAAGTTTTTTATTCATCAAAGAATCCTGAAAAAAGTATCGCAGTTTTCAAAAAATAAATATTTGGCAGCACAACTGTTGATAATTATAATAATAAATCCGCTTATTAGAATGATTTCTGAAGAAAATTCAGCTTTGCATCACAGAAATAAATTATATTTTAAAGGATATTAAAATAGAAACCATTATTTTATATTGTAATAACATTTTGCAAGATTACTGTGTTTTTTCTGTATTTTTGATCAAATAAATGCAGCCTTGATGAGCAGAAGACACTTCTTTAATAATATTACAAGTCTTACTGATCCCAAACTTTTGACCTGTGTATATATATATATATATATATATGTTAAAATGTTATATATGTTTAACATGTTTACATTTTTATATAAAAATGTGTGTGTGTTTGCATTACACATATAATCGGACTACTTTTTGATTACTTTTGACCAAACTTAACACATTTAAACCGGATAATCTTGTACAATATTGGTGTAAAAATACAAAGAGTAAGAAAAATATATTCCATTCATTGTTATTAACAACATAAAGTGCATTAAACATTAAATTACGTCAAGGTTCCCAAACTGGGGTTCGTAAAGGAACTGCAGGGGGTTTGCGAGTTTAATGAAAGGTTAATCATTAATCAAATCATAAAAATGTAAAATATATCATTTTAAAATAACAAATCGAAATAAAACGCTTCCTAAAAAAATGAATTATTTTATTTGTTTGCATGCATGTCATGTGAACATTAACCAACGTCAGAGAACCGTGAACATGCAAATGCGATACTTAATTATTAAATAGCTGTTTTAAAATCTCAGGGGTACTTCAAGTAAATATATTTGGTGAAAGCGGTTCAGATGACGAAAGTGTTCGGGAACCCATGCATTACATGTAAATAAGATATAATGTGAATTTGTGCATTTTATTATATTACAGCCTTCCAAAGACATTGAAATAGATGGTTAAATAACCTACTGAGTGATAATTCAAACACACATTAATGTGTTCATCAGTAGTTGATGCAATGTTGAGAAATTATTTCTGTAAAACTGACTAGTGAGAATCTCCACAAGACTGGAAGACTTTCTGAATGTATATAAGCGGTAGGCTATTTAAAAAAGGAACATTTAAAAGATGTAAAAGAGGAATTAGGGAGAATCAATAAATTATGAATAATGTATTGCTACTGTGTGAATAATATGCAATCAATAAAAAAGTAACTGTAGTCTGTTGCTACAAATATACCCCAGCGACTTAAGACTGCTTTTGTGCTGCAGGGTCACAAATATATACACCTATATATATATATATATATATATGTGTGTGTGTGTACTGTATGTTTATACACACTATATTCTTGAAAAAATAAATTACTTATAATACTATAAATAAAATTATTTTTTATTATAACTGCATGTGTTTGTTTATATGATAGTTATGTCACTGAAATTAATTAATTATTAATGATTTCCCTAAAACAAAAATAAAACAAAATGCCCTAAATAAAATAAAATTCCTTAAAATAAAATAAAATTCCCTGAAATATAATAAAACAGAATATAATAGAATAAAATAAAATATATATATAAAAAATAAAATCCTTAAAATAAAATATAAATTCCCTAAAATAAAATAAAATAAAAATTCCCTAAAATAAAATAAAATAAAATTCCTTAAAATAAAATAAAATAAAATTCCCTAAAATAAAATAAAATAAAAATTCCCTAAAATAAAATAAAATAAAAATTCCCTAAAATAAAATAAAATAAAATTCCTTAAAATAAAATAAAATAAAATTCCCTAAAATAAAATGCCGAACGTCCACGTGGCTGCGAATAAAAACAGCGTGAACGCCGCCGTCCGCAGCTGGGCTTTAAACGAGTGTTCGTTGGCCAGCGTGGACGGGTTGATGAGACCCGGGCAGCCGCCGTGACACTGACCGCTCGCCGGCTCCCCCTGGTGGAGGTCGGAGAGCCGCTGCTGCTCCTCGCTCACCGCCTTCAGCTCGTATTTCCGCTCGGGGTGTTTGTGCAGCTGGATGAAGGTGCACAAGAAGTAGACGCAGGTCACCAGGACGATGAAGCCCACGGGGCCGTAGAAGGCCCCCAGACTCGGCTCCCACGCCATCCAACAGCTGCAAACACAGCAGATGAACACTTACTGAACATGTTATATTATTAAGCCATAATTAACCATAATCTGGTTAATTAACATTCAGATTTTAGCAATTTGATGAGAACAAACTTTAACTGAATTTAATTGTCTATTGTCTTCTGTAGGGCTGCTTTATCAATTAATTCAATGCATTTCATAATTGATGAATTTTGCAGCAGTGACGCTGTTATTCAACTGAATTGAATCAACACTCAACTGAAGAATGACACTACTGTCTTCTGTAGAAATACTTTATAAATTAATTAAATTTGTTTCATAATTGATGAACTGTGGAACATAAACATACAATCTGCAATGATAGAAATATATTAAATTAATAAAAAAAAAATTGTTGTTTTTATGAGTTGTTGTTATTGTTAAACAGTCTTATTATTGGTAACAAAAACTGACAAGCAAAAATTGTTTTCTGTAATTGAGATAATGCTTAAATAAAATAAAAATGAAACAATAAATAAATAGAAAAATAAAATGCATTTAAATAAAATAATAAAATAAATTATTAAATTAAATTAAATAAATGCATGCATACATACATAAATACATATTAAATGAACCTAAACCTAACCTAAACTTTAAAAAAAAAACTAATGAACTAATGAACAAAACATCACCTTGGCGACTAAATCTGAAATAAAAATCTATATAGAAATAAAAAAAACCTAATAAAAAAAATCACATCAAAATTACTAACACAAACAAAATTAAAACTAAAAATACAAATTGAATTTGTTTCATAAATGATAAACTTGGCAACACGTGCAATGATACAAATGAATGAAATTAACTAAAATTAACTAAAATGTATATATATATATTAGATGAAAAACTTAAACTTAAAAAACCTAACCATAATGAAAATGAAATAGAAATGTTACCTTGGTGACTAACTGAAATAAGTTTGAGTTGAAGTATCAAAATGACTAAATCTGAAATAAAAATACATTTGAAATATAATATATAAAAAAATTTATTTTTAAAAGTTAATTTAAAATATATTAATAAAAACTATAATAGAGTGACTCACATGTGTCCCTGCAGCACAAAAGCAGTGTTAAGTCGCTGGGGGATATTTGTAGCAATAGCCAACAATACATTGTATGGTGGTGGTGGCAGAGTGTGAGTGCCTCGTGAGGGCAAATGTGATGCCCTTCGTGAGCCAGGTGGCAGACGTGGGTGTGTGGGCTGTTTGCGCGCGAGCTGTGCGCACTAGCGCCGTCGGCGCCAGAGGGAATACGGAACGCTAGTTCACGTTGCCGCCTCGTTTTAGTCCTGACGGGCTTGGAGCAGCGGTGCAAGCGCACGGCGGGCCGGTATCCCTCAGGGTCGGCGTGGAGGAGCACGTGTGCGCTGGTTTCGTCCTCTAGGAGCTGCTGCGTGTGCAGAGCGGCGCAACATGGCGAAACCGGTGTCAGGCAGGTCACGTGATTCTGCGCGACGGTGCGACACGCGCAGTAAGCGGGTTTCCCGGCATCCAGATGGCAGTGGGAGTGGGCGTCGCCGTTTATGTTGACTTTGTGGGCGTGGCCGTGGGCGTGGCATGCGTTGGAGGGGCGTCGCCCGGGGCAGCAAGCGCACCAGCAGTGCCAGACATCATCGCGTTTCGCGCAGTGGTGAATCAAAACGAACAACCCCAGCGTGACGGAAAACGCCCCGTACAAGCAGCTGAAAATCATATCCAGAAAGTGACCCTGCGATACGGCCAGTGCGCCGAACGTCCACGTGGCTGCGAATAAAAACAGCGTGAACGCCGCCGTCCGCAGCTGGGCTTTAAACGAGTGTTCGTTGGCCAGCGTGGACGGGTTGATGAGACCCGGGCAGCCGCCGTGACACTGACCGCTCGCCGGCTCCCCCTGGTGGAGGTCGGAGAGCCGCTGCTGCTCCTCGCTCACCGCCTTCAGCTCGTATTTCCGCTCGGGGTGTTTGTGCAGCTGGATGAAGGTGCACAAGAAGTAGACACAGGTCACCAGGACGATGAAGCCCACGGGGCCGTAGAAGGCCCCCAGACTCGGCTCCCACGCCATCCAACAGCTGCAAACACAGCAGATGAACACTTACTGAACATGTTATATTATTTCAGAACATTCAGATTTTAGCAATTTGATGAGAACAAACTTTAACTGAATTTAATTGTCTATTGTCTTCTGTAGGGCTGCTTTATCAATTAATTCAATGCATTTCATAATTGATGAATTTTGCAGCAGTGACACTGTTATTCAACTGAATTGAATCAACACTCAACTGAAGAATGACACTACTGTCTTCTGTAGAAATACTTTATAAATTAATTAAATTTGTTTCATAATTGATGAACTGTGGAACATAAACATACAATCTGCAATGATAGAAATATATTAAATTAATAAAAAAAAAAATAGAGTTGTTGTTATTGTTAAACAGTCTTATTATTGGTAACAAAAACTGACAAGCAAAAATTGTTTTCTGTAATTGAGATAATGCTTAAATAAAATAAAAATGAAACAATAAATAAATAGAAAAATAAAATGCATTTAAATAAAATAATAAAATAAATTATTAAATTAAATTAAATAAATGCATGCATACATACATAAATACATATTAAATGAAAACCTAAACTTTAAAAAAAAAACTAATGAAAATTAAATCAAAACATCACCTTGGCGACTAAATCTGAAATAAAAATCTATATAGAAATAAAAAAAACCTAATAAAAAAAATCACATCAAAATTACTAACACAAACAAAATTAAAACTAAAAATACAAATTGAATTTGTTTCATAAATGATAAACTTGGCAACACGTGCAATGATACAAATGAATGAAATTAACTAAAATTAACTAAAATGTATATATATATATTAGATGAAAAACTTAAACTTAAAAAACCTAACCATAATGAAAATGAAATAGAAATGTTACCTTGGTGACTAACTGAAATAAGTTTGAGTTGAAGTATCAAAATGACTAAATCTGAAATAAAAATACATTTGAAATATAATATATAAAAAAATTTATTTTTAAAAGTTAATTTAAAATATATTAATAAAAACTATAATAGAGTGACTCACATGTGTCCCTGCAGCACAAAAGCAGTGTTAAGTCGCTGGGGGATATTTGTAGCAATAGCCAACAATACATTGTATGGGTCACAATTATACATTTCTCTTTTATGCCAAAAATCATTAGGATATTAAGTAAAGATCATGTTCCATGAAGATATTTTGTAAATGTCCTACCGTAAATATATCTAAACTTAATTTTTGATTAGTACTATGCATTGCTAAGAACTTCATTTGGACAACTTTAAAGATGATTTTCTCAATATTTAGATTTTTCTGCACCCTCAGATTCCAGATTTTCAAATAGTTGTATCTCGGCCAAATATTGTCCGATCCTAACAAACCACACATCAATGGAGAGCTTATTTATTCAGCTTTCATGTGATGTATAAATCTCAATTTTGAAAAATTGTCCCTTAAGACTAGTTTTGTGGTCCAGGGTCACGTATATGAAAGAGTCAAACGCATATAAGAAAACATTCGACTGATTTAGTTGCTACTTACAATGGCGTCTGCTCTCCGCTGCCGTAGTTCTCGATGTTGATGGCTGCTGTGATGCCGCAGATGATGAAGGGAACTCCTGCGCTCACTAAATAAAACCTGCAGACACAAAACACAATCACGCTGAAGCTAAAAATACAGAGTCGGGTTTCATCAAACACTGAAGTGATGAGGAAGAGTTTATGAGGGATCTATTTGACCTGTCAGGACCGTTTGAGAGAAGTATTAAACACAAAGGAAAATCTACAGGAATCAGATCAGAGCGATGTGAAAATCCCAAAGCCAAGGAAAGACAAAATGAGAGAAAGATGAGAAGAGTTTCCTTTAGATGTCTGTGACATCAAAACAGATGTTATTTAGATGGCTAGATATAAATGTTTATATTGTTAACCAATTATAATTTGCTCAGCAAGATTCTCTGATCCTCCATGATCAAAGTTTTTCATGCATTAAACTGTTTTAGTGGAAATATCTGCAGGTAAATATTGTTTTTTAAGATGCATAGTTATATTAAACACATCAGTGTTGTTATTGTTAACTAAAACTTTTAAAATACATTTAAAACTTAAAATACTAATTGAAACTAAAACTAAAATAAAACAAATATATAAAAAAATGAAGCCTGAAACATAACAACAAAAGATATTTCAAAATATTAACAGAATAACATACAAGTAAATGAGTGTAATTGCAGGCAGTGAATCAGGGCTGTTATGACATCTCAACAGCATATAAATATAATATAAATATAATAACGCGAGTCTCTGCGGCACTCGTGTTTGGGGAGATTAAAACGGCTGCCCTCTGAGCGCAGATACGCGGGTTAGTCCAAACACACTGCATAATTCGTGAAATTATCCAAGGTTTGAAGAAAAAGCAGTCTGCTGTGTGATACAGAATGTAGCCGTTTAGAAAACTCAAAAGAAATGCCACACAGTTTCTTCTGCTCACCCGGGCTGATCAAAAATACAGTACAAATTGTGAAATATTATTGCAAATTAAAACAGCTGTTTTCTATGTGACTATCTGTTAAACTGTAATTTATTTCTGTGATCAAAGCTGTATTTTCAGCATCATTACTCCAGTCTTCAGTGTCACATGATCCTTCAGAAATCATTCTAATATGCTAAAAATTGTCTGTAAAATGAATGAATGTAAAACCAAAAATCAACATACAATGGAAGTCTTTGGAGTAAAGAATAGCACTAGAATAAACATTAAAAAGCACAATTTTGAAATGATCACAATGTGCTAATTTTGTGAGTTCATATCTGTGACTCTGTGACTTTTATGTGTTCACGTGAGACTAGTGTGATAAAACCATATGCAACGTAAATTTGGTAATTCTAGGAGCTTTCACCGGTAACATTTTACAATAAGTTCCTATTAGTTAATGATAGTTAATGCATTACATAACATGAGAAATACATTTGTTGCATCATTTAATCTCATTGTTAGTTCATGTCAGCTCAGATCCATTAAAAAGCATTAACAGATACAACTTTTGATGTTAATAATGTGTTAGTAAATGTTGAAATGAACATTAAGATTAATAAATGCATTTTCATTGTTAGTTCATGTTAACTAATGTCAACAAATTGAACTTTATTGTACAAATATGATCCTTTCATCTAATACACAAATATAATGCAACTACCTCGTAAAGAACGTTTCATTGAGCAAAACAATGACAAGAAACGCTAAACCAGAGCCACTAAATCATCCAACTAGAGCAGACTTTCAACCACTAAAAGCATGAGAAACTTTACTGCTAAAATCATAAACACTAATTTACAAATACAAGCAATACTTCTCACTGGGATCATAATGTGCGGATGCAAAAACAATCACGCAAGAGGATCATGATCACCACCAGTCCACAAATTGGCATGAATGGGTCAAACTGTTCCATACAGATGGCCTTATTATAGAGTAAACAACTCATGCACTCAGATATCAGCACTTTAGGTGATGTTGAATCAAAATGAACATGAAACGATCGGTGCGCTGTGACTCTCAGCTCAGTTCAATTACAGATGCACCGCTGCATCTGCGACCTTCATTACACCTGCGGTGTTTACAGACGATCGGATGACAAATGGGCTGAAAAAAGGTGACTATAATAGCAGAACAACAACAACAGGTAGCCGTAATAAACCAAAGTTACACAAAATATGAGTTTTTTTTTTTTCCGTGATGCATTTAAAATGTAAAAGGCAAGACACTATAGGCAAAAACATTGTTTTTTTTCACGCATTTATCAATTTTGAGCTATTTGGGTTTTCATAACTTGTCTTCTTTTAGACTACTGGAAAAAGCCAACCAAAATACACTTTTAAGTGTTTATTTTATTGCGCTCATCTATTTCATCTGTAGATTTCAGCTACAGTACATATCTTTTAAGAGTTTTTTCTCCATTTCAGTAATACTTACATACTCCAAAACTTACAGTTTTATTCCTCTCTATATTCTGAAGGTTTTTACTGAAGGGTTTCAATTTGCTTGATTTTATTATTGCACTTTATCTGTTTACATCTATAGATTTCAATTACAATGCATATGTTTAAAGGCATTTTTTCTCAAAATGAGTTTTTTTCTCCACTTTGGCAGCACTTACATACAGCAAAACTTACAGTTTTATTCATATCTATATTCTGAAGGCTTTTACTGAGGGGTTTGTTCATATAACTGGTTTTATACAACATTTTATTACTAAAAACATGGCAAAAATATATTAGTTTTCTGTCTGTTGACAGTATTTTCTGATTTATGAAGGGATAACAAGAGAAACCCCAAATCCCTTCAGTAAAAACCTTTAAGTCTACTATGTCAATTAAATAATAATAAAAAAACTGAATGTTCAGATTTCTGTTCTGGAAGTGTATGCAAATGAGTGCATATTTAAACATAACATTTCAATTATAACGGTTTTAAACAATGTATAATATAATATATGCATTTTTTTATCCTATTCACCTGTAGTGTCTTGCCTTAAAACACAAACCTGATGTGACTTGTATGTAATAAACAGCAAGTTATTGTAAATTAAATAATGTTCCATCAGTCTTTAAATGAGGCTGCGACATGACTTTACACTGCACTAAAAACCCAAATGCAATAAGAAAACTCTGCTTCTGAAAGAGCGAGATGTGAGAGCGTGAAATAGATGTGCTGATCCAACCAACAATCAAGAAATAAAACAAACTGCAGGAGGCTTGAGGCGTGAGAGATTTATTCTGAAGACAGATAAATGAAAAAAACAACCACACCGCTTGCAGCTGAACAGCAGAATCACTCTGGAAAGAAACACGCTTCAATCAAAGCAGTGAAAGTGCACATCACAGACGAGAAACAACATTACTGAGCTATTGATCCATTTCAGGGCTACTCATACTACTCTTATTTACTACACTATTGTCTGCAGTGTGCAATATGCACTGTATGTACTTCTTCTACTAGCACAGAATACTAGTGTGCAATGCATTGCATAATGCATACGGTTTCACATACATAAAAAAATAGGCTTCAGATTTTAGTACATACTGTGTTGTATGCAATACACTTTGAGGGACCCATTTTCCATGTTCTGCTTTAATTAAAAAACAAATTAGTTTGGAGGAAAGAGGGTGAATTGGGGTGTAAATGGAGTTTCTCCTCACGTCAGAGGACTTAAGATTGGTTAAAGATCTCACATGCCACAACATTTCTGACAGAGAACACAATGTCTGCGCTCGGCTTTCATGTGACCTACTTTCAGCACAATCAGACCCAAACATTACACTCAGAAGAACTAAAAATCCCAGATTAAAAACCACGAACAAGCAGACAAGCTGAATGAAGCTGCGTTAAACTTATCAGTCTTTAAATGAGGCTGCGACATGACTTTACACTGCACTAAAAACCCAAATGCAATAAGAAAACTCTGCTTCTGAAAGAGCGAGATGTGAGAGCGTGAAATAGATGTGCTGATCCAACCAACAATCAAGAAATAAAACAAACTGCAGGAGGCTTGAGGCGTGAGAGATTTATTCTGAAGACAGATAAATGAAAAAAACAACCACACCGCTTGCAGCTGAACAGCAGAATCACTCTGGAAAGAAACACGCTTCAATCAAAGCAGTGAAAGTGCACATCACAGACGAGAAACAACATTACTGAGCTATTGATCCATTTCAGGGCTACTCATACTACTCTTATTTACTACACTATTGTCTGCAGTATGCAATATGCACAGTATGCACTTCTACTAGCACAGAATACTAGTGTGCAATGCATTGCATAATGCATACGGTTTCACATACATAAAAAAATAGGCTTCAGATTTTAGTACATACTGTGTTGTATGCAATACACTTTGAGGGACCCATTTTCCATGTTCTGCTTTAATTAAAAAACAAATTAGTTTGGAGGAAAGAGGGTGAATTGGGGTGTAAATGGAGTTTCTCCTCACGTCAGAGGACTTAAGATTGGTTAAAGATCTCACATGCCACAACATTTCTGACAGAGAACACAATGTCTGCGCTCGGCTTTCATGTGACCTACTTTCAGCACAATCAGACCCAAACATTACACTCAGAAGAACTAAAAATCCCAGATTAAAAACCACGAACAAGCAGACAAGCTGAATGAAGCTGCGTTAAACTTAGAAACATCAAAAAACCAAGGAACGTGTTAGTTCTGCCTTCACTAGAACAAAAGATGCTATAGGAAGATAAGTCTTTATGTGTGTGTGTGTGTGTGTGTGTGTGTGTGTGTGTATCTATGCACGCACACACACACACACACGTTAATACAATACCTCAAATAAATGTTATCTTAAATTAAATATATAAATATAAAAAAAAAAAACCTTGATATACTAAAATAACTAAAACTGAAATAAAAATTAATAAAAACTATATATATATATAATAATAATAATTTTTTATTTAATTTAATATTTATGAAATATATAAATATAAAAAAAAAACTTGATATACTAAAATAACTAAAACTGAAATAAAAATTTATAAAAACTATATATTTCTTAAATAACATATAAAAAAATAACAACTACAACAAAAAACACTAATAAAAATGAAATATTAAATACTAAAAATATATATATATATATAAATGTAATATTTGAAAAGCTATAAAATATTTAAAAATATTTTTTTAAATATAAAAAATATAAAAATTGTAACTTATTAAAAACGTAACATTAAAAACTTTTTTAACAGCTTTAGCTAGTTGCCAAATCAAAACTTTTCGTTTTCATTTTGTTTAGCTTGTACTAAAATAACTGAAATAAAAATTTATTTAAAAAAACTATATAAACATATAAAAAAAATATATAAAAATAACTACAACAACAAAAAACAAAAAGATAACTAATAAAAAATAAAAATACAACAAAACTACAAAAACTTTAAACAAAATTAAATGAAAACGGAAAATACAAAAATGAAAAATATCATAAAACAGAGTTCCTCTAAATGGTTAATTATGTACAACGCTGTGTGTTCAACAACTGCAAACAGCTAAACTCAACAATTAACTATGAAACATGAAATCTGTGCATTATGTTTCTATGAAACTAGTCACTGACAGATCTACCGCCGTATAAACAGTAACTTCCACATGCCCAGAGCAAAGGTGAAGAATATATGAAGAGTTCATTTGCAAAAACCGATAAACGCCACTTTAAAAAAAATGAGCTGATGCATTATTCTCCACATATAGCGCGATCTGAACTCTAAACAAGTTTTGTCAAAAAAGACGGTTTTGTCCATTTTCAAGCATCGTGAGTTCACGTTTTACTGCAGAAGCCGACAAGCGCCTTGTTGTTTTTGAACAGAAGCCGATAAGTCCATTTCAGCGAATCAGCGCGCTGTATTCAGGTCAGGTGACAAGGCTACTTTCCCTTTGAAAAGACGTGCTAGCTGAGAGGAGTCTCGTCAAAGCTGACAAAGTGATCGAGGATCATTTCGACGAACTTGATGAACCTGTGATATCTTCTTCAGGGCGAAAAAGGAAAATAAAAGCTGAAAGGTTTTCGCGGAGCCTTGCAAAAGCAGCGCGTTACAAAGGTGAGGGAAAAGCTCTGTGTATTGCGTGTAATACAGTTCATGATCACAACAACAACGTTTGTCAGGCGTCTACATTATCATCTGAGGACATTACAAAGATTAAAAGAGTGTGTTTTAAACTCTAAAACATGAAATGAGGAGTTATCTGCTTTTGCTATAAAACAAACTTTTAATATGTAAAAAAAAAAAACATACTTTCAATGAACTTTAATTTAGTAAATTACCTGTATTTGTTTAAGCTATTATTACTTAATCAAAACAACCCAACTGCAGTTTGAGTGATATTACTTGGAACGCGCAATAAAAAAATCGTGATTTCTGGAGTTATCGGTTTTTGCAAATGAACTCTTCATATTCAGCACACATTGATTCAGGTACAAGCTGTTCTGGGATTTGCTCTGCGGGAGGTTACTTCACATGTTAAACACAGATTGATTGGGCTTATTAGCTTGACACGGACAGAAGGTTACGCAGCGGATCCTGCAGCTGTCTCTCATGTTTACCGGCGAGATCTTCACCGTAAGGGCTTCATCTTGACAGACCGTTTGCTCTTCAGTCTAACGTCAAGTCTAATTCCTTCAAATCAACTCTGTAAGTGTCATAAACCCGAGAGCAATCTGGAAACTCGAAGGTTCGTACCTCAGCATGGGTGATCTGGCGGGGTGAGGCGGCGCGTGGTCTGCGTTCTGCGCTTGCTGCGGTTTTTTGGACACTTGTTTGTAGATGTTTCGTGCCGTGACACCCAACCAGAGCATCGTGGACAGAGATGAGTAATGCAAGACGATACCGACCTGAAACACAGACAGAAACACACGGCTCAGTGCTTAAAGCACAAAACACACGGACACAATCCAGACAGAAAGCACTGTTCTAGCAGCATCTTTGACCATCTAAACACCATGGTGAAATGCAAGATTTGATCAAAAGTGACAGTAAAGAGAATTATAACGTTACAAAAGATTCCTATTTCAAATAAATGCTGTTCTTTTGAACTTTCTGTTCATCTGTGAATCCTGAAAAATAAAATGCATCACGGTTTCCACAAAAATATTGTGCAGCGCGACTGTTTTCAACATTGATAATAATCAGAAATGTTTCTCGAGCAGCAGATCAGCATATTATACTGATTTCTGAAGATCATGTGACACTGAAGACTGGAGGAATGATGCTGAAAATACAGCTGCGCATCACAGAAATACATTATATTTTACAATATATTCTTATAGAAAACAGCTGTTTTACATTCTAATAATATTTCACAATTTGTACTGTACTTTTGATCAAATAAATACAGCCTCTGTGAGCAGAAGAGACTTCTTTTAAAAACATTAAAATGCAAACTTTTGAACAGTAGTGTGTATATAATACATTATTTTAGGGTGACTTGCAACATCTTGTCCAGGGATTACGGATGAAAAATAGCCTTTGGCTAATTCTGGTACATTTACAGGAATGTTTTATAAAAAAAATAATAATAATTTAATGATAGCAAATAAAACATACTGCCTCTTTAACAGCTTTGTTCAGTGATGATGTGTCCTTTGTCTGTCCTCTATCAACTCAAACACATTAAACATATCCGCATGAATGACAGTGACATCAAGCATCACGTGAGCAAATGTGACCGAGTATCCGAGATTGAAATGCTCCAAACATATAATGCAGTGATTGAGAGCTGAAGAAATAAAGGCTCCTCAGAAGATGTGAGATGTTCTGGAGGCTTGTGAAGATCATTCCTCCGCTGAGGAACAGTGAAAGTAAAGCTTCTGGAAACAAACGCTCCTCAAAAGATCCTGAGGATTAGATTTGAGACTCTAAAACATGATTGATGAAGAATCAAGTAAAGCTGAGCTGCTTCAGTCCAGTAAGTGTTCATCTGGAGATATTACTGCAGTTATTCTGACCTTTACTTGATCAAAATCAGTCAAGATTTGACACGAGATGCTCGAGCTGAAGCTGGACGTTTGTACAGTTACACTAAAAGAGCTTTGACTGGATAAAACACTCTAAACTCTCAATCAGACGACAGAAGACATGCAGGAGATCGAGTGTGAAA